CCAAGGCCTCAGTACTTACATGTTCCTGCCCCTCCTCATTCACAATAATAGCTTTGTATCCTGTTGCATTATCAGCTTGTTCACCTATACCTTTAATAGGTCGATCACCTCCCGCTACTGTCCCTATACTACTGCCATTCCCTCTATTCCTAGCTAAGGCACGATCGACAGGAACAATAGCGACACTCTTTGATATCCCAGAATTGCTGAGAATCTGTGCACCATCAGGGATATTAACATCAGTTTTTTCTACTTGCACAGCACCTCTAACACCTGTTGCATCTGCCCTTTTACTCAAATCATCACCCACCTGCTGCCTAGCATTCTTATCATTTTCTGATCCTTCTATAAGTTGTTGCCCAGCTCTCTTAGCATTCAAAAAATCTCTTGCATCACCCTGCAATTTTTCAACTATTTGATGCTTATTCTCATCACAAACACGAGCTGTTTGAACTGCCTTTCCTTTTAAGCGCCGACATTGATTTTCTTCATGTCCTTGATGCTTACAATGGCCACAATACGAAGGCAAATTATCATAGATAATTTCCTGGTAATCCTCAACAATCTTACCAGTTTTAACATCAAGATATTGAAGCCTAATCTTTTCAGGAAGTTTGTCAAGTAAATCAATGATAACCTTGACTCTTGCCGTGCTAGGACGAGATCTAACTTGTGTTGCCTTATCAATTGCGATTGGTTTTCCAATAGCAGCCGCAATGGACAATAAAGGCTTACGAGCAAACAGTTCAGGCGACAAATTCGGCAAAGAAATCCAAATAGCCACCTTCGAAGTTTCCTGGTTTGGATTATATCCAACACTCCATGGGAAAACTCTATATTGATGCTCCCTTCCATTATGTTGAAAATAGTTTACAGCTCTTGCCAAACAAGCAACATAATCTTCATGTTGATCACAACGAATTAAAATTTGTCGTGGAGCCAAAGAACCGAACAAGCAATTACCTTTGATACCAAAGATTTTCGGCAGAATACTCCTTAAAATCTGTAAATTTGGTGCGTCGCTGGACAGTTTTATCATCACTGCTTGATGTAATCCTTCCTCCTTTGCAAATTCTTCACGTTCATCCATGGAAAATTGAATCGTAGGAACTCCATGAACAATTTCAAAAGGTTTCAAACTCATTTTTGTGAGAGATGTGGCAGATTGCTTTTGATTCAAACTTGCTGCATATGTAACAAAGTTGTTGATGTTTGGAGTAACTTCATTTGAGTTTGGATTCTGCTCTCCCACAGCCAAAGGATGGGGAGAGACGTTGGCTTCCATGGAAAGGCTCTATTACGCAAAATTTTCAACACTACATCGCACAGAAAAGAAGAAGCTGCCCAGATACACTATTTTGCTACAGTAATGGACGAACCAATTTGTAGATCTGTAACAATTGGCTAAGGATTTGAGGGTGAAACCAATTGGGAATTGTGCACAAAGAGAAAATGAATCTTTTGATATAAAGTTTGCGAAAATCCATTGCTAGATTCCGAAGTTATGGCCGATGAATAGTAACGGATTTACTATTCACCCTTCTTCCTAGAGAGAAGGAAGAGTCTTACCTTTTTTTAAGGCTATTTTGCAGTAGCCTACAGAACAAGCTAATACCGGGAAGGAAATTGTCCCAGTACAAAAGGGAAAAAAGCAACTAAGGTAATAGAGGAATTAGAGATAAGAATGATGGAAAACAGAATGAACTTCAAGGGAAGACTAGGAAGGAACTTGTACCAGTAGATCAAAGAGGAAGTAGTTAGGTTCAAGTGGGAAATAAGTTTGCAGTTTTACAAGTGATTAATGATGAAGAAGAAACTGATAACCACTTGGTATTGGTGGTTGATCAACCAAGTCCTAGGCCTGCAACAACTAGGAATCTAATGTAACCTCAACAAGTTCAAAAATCTATTCCTAAGAATGCAGGGAAGTTAAATTCTGTAGCTCTAGTTTTTAATCCAAATTCAACTGGAACTGGCTCAACTACTGGACGTATGTATGCCACTACAACTGGAAAAGGGAATGAGACAGCTAAAGCGAAGCAATCAACTACTCAGTGGGTACAAAGAACATTTAATACTAATGTAGTTGGTATTAATACTTCATGTCAAGACATATTATCACAAGACACTCGTGTAGAAAGAGATCTGGCCAAAAAGTTCAGAAAATCAAGCTAAAAAGAGGAGTGATTTTCCTAAGGTGAATGAGAGAGTGTAATGGAATGGTGGCAGGCTATGGTCTGAACAACTTGAGGAGGATCCTGATGAAGCTGAATTTCCAGATAGTGTATCATATGATGATGAACCAGTAAATGATGATCAAGAGGGAGAGTAACAAAGTGTAAATGGAGATCCCAATGTTAATTCAATTAACACTACTGAGAAGACTCCTAACAATGTTACTATAGAGGCCAAGGAACATGAGGATGGGTAGGGAACACTAAGAAGTGATGGAATGGGTACAGAAAACACTGAAAGAATAGGGACAACTACTGTTTATCCAGGAGGAACACGGGAAAGTACAAGACAAAAGTTGATTGTTGATGATAATCCAAAAGTGTTAGCAAAGCTTGGGAAAGAGTAGCTGCCCATTTCACATCTTCTAGTTGAACCTAGGAATATTGTTCCATTGGAGTCCACACAATTGAAGTTGTAGAAGAAAGGAGAGGAACATGCTATGGTGCCTAAATTTCAGAAGTCAAATACTGTGGCTGCAATGGGTGGTAATGGTGCCAATGATGTAGAGGAAGAAATTGACATAACAGGCAGGGATTTGGATCAGTAATCTACAACCCAGAATTTTCTCAATGTAGCTAGGCAGGGTGATCTCTTACCCAAGCATATTGAGAAGGTAAAATCTACAACAAAAGGAAGGAAGAAACGATAGAAAGATAACACTGTTGTGGATACAGGAAGTGTTCAAATGAGGAGGACTCTGACCAAATTAAATAATCAGTAATGGATGAACTTATCTGGAATATAAGGTCAGTAAATACACAACAAGCTTTTGAGAGGCTGATCAAAATGCATAGGCAACATCATTTTAAATTTATAGTATAAATGGAGCCAATGCAACATGCTAGAAAATTGGAAAGGTATAGAAGGGAAATTGGTTTTGCGCATGCAATTGCAAATGTTTCAAACAAGATATGGGCTTTCATTAATAAAGTATTTAATGTTACCATTCTATATAACATGGTTCAACAACTGACTCTAAGGCTATTGCATATTGAAACACATGTAGAGTTTATTCTTACCTTGGTATATGCTAAATATGATGCCATTGAGAGAATAGAATTATGGGATTCAATATATGACATGGCAAGGGACATGTCTATGCCATGGCTTGTAGGTGGAGATTTTAGTGCCATTTGGGATGAAGAAGAAAAGTTTGGTAGGCTGCCAGTATCCTTGAATGAAATAGATGATTTCAGCACTACATCAACACTTGCAACTTATTTTATCTTGGCTTCAAAGTAGTATTTTTACTTGGTGGAATTGGAGGGAATAAGATGATTGTATCTTCAAGAGGCTGGATAGATGTCTCACTCATGCTGAATTTCAGCAAACATTCCTAGGAATTGAAATAACACATTTGTCAAAGATAGGATCAGATTACAGTCCTATGCAATTGAAATGTGACATAGAGGCTCGTCCAGTGAAGAAACCTTTCAAGTTCCTTAATTTTTGGGTTGAGCATGAGTCATTTAAAGATGCTGTGAGGGAGAATTGGAAGGCTGATTTTGTGCAAGTCCATTTGTCATGTTCAATTACAAACTAAATAAGTTAAAAAAAGGCTTTGTTAGTGTCGAGTAGAGCAATATATGGAGATATATTTCAGAAGGTTGCAAGTTTGGAAGAGGTTGTTATGGTTCATGAGGTAGAGTTTGAAGCTAATCCTAGAAGAATGAATAGAGAGAGGTTGTAGAAAAGTGCAGGCAAAATTGATCAAATTTCTAGCTTTGGAGGAAAAATATTAGAAGCAGAAATCAGGCATGGTTTGGTTCAAAGATAGTGACAGAAACACTAAATTCTTTCATGTTCAAGTCAAAGGTCGAAGAAAGAGGTTACAACTTAAAAGGATTCAAAACAGTCATGAAAACTGGATTGAGGAAGATGAAGAAATTGTTGTTGAAGTAGTTAAATTCTATGAAGATTAGTTTAAAGAATCAGTAGTATCTACCTCATTTGGCATTATGTATCATATGCCTAATCTGGTTGATATGGAGCAGAATATAGAACGGGTAAAGCATCCAACAAAGAAGAAGTTAAGAATACAGTGTTTGGTTTAATTTGGGACAGCGCAGGAGGGCCAGATGGTTACACAGGCATCTTGTATCATTCATGTTGGGACATAGTTGGATATGATCTATTTGATATGGTACGAGATTTTTTCAATGGCCATGAACGGCCAAAATATGTAACACACACAAATCTGGTCCTACTTCCAAAGAAAAAAGAGGTGACGACATTTTCTGATATAAGGCCTATATGCCTTAGCAATTTCTCAAACAAAGCTATCTTGAGGGTGATTCATGAGAGGTTAATTGGGCTACTGCCTAGTCTTATTTCTGAGGAGCAAGCTGATTTTGTAAAAGGGAGAAGCATTATAGAATATGTATTGCTCACATAGGAGATCATTACAGACATTAGACTTAGAACGAAAATTGGTCCAAATATGGTAATGAAGCTTGACATGACAAAGGCATATGACAGGTTATCTCGGATCTTTCTGACTAAGGTGCTTAGGAAAATGGATTTTCAGAGAGATTCATTTGCTTGGTGTTTGGTATTGTGTCAAATAATTGGTATTATGTTCTTATCAATGGGCAGGCTCATGGATTTTTCAAATCATCAAGAGGTGTCATGCAAGGAGATATAGTGTCTCTTACATTATTTATTCTAGCTACTGAAGCACTATCGAGGGGTCTAAATGCTTTACATTTGAACTTGTACTTCTGTGGCTTTGGACTGCCTAACTGGAGTCTAAAGTCAATCATCTAGTCTATGCAGATGATACTATCATTTTTTCTTCTTCTGATGCTACATCTTTGTGCTTAATAATGGAAGTTTTGAGTGTATATCAGGTTGCATTAGGGAAGTTGGTAAACAAGACAAAATCAGCTATTTACATGGACCATTCAACAAATATAGAGCTGATTACAAAAGTGGAGAGAATCACTAGGATCTGTAACAACCCGACCAGTCATTTTAAGAATTTACGCTCCGATCCTCTATTAACTGCATTCCCTATGTTTGTTTCTGCTATTGTGAGTGGCCGGGAGGATTTATTTGGAGTTTCGAGGAGTTTTGGGACATTTAATCCCTAAATGAGAGTTTAAGTTGTAGAATTTGGGCCGTAGTCGAAGTAGTGTGAAGACGACCTAAGAATGGAAATTTGATTGTTCCGTTATCTCCGTTGGGTGACTTCGGGATTAGGGGCGTGTTCAGATTGTGTTTTGGATGTCCGTAGCTTAATTAGGCTTGAAATGCCGAAAGGTGAAATTTTGAAGTTTCCGGTTCGATAGTGAGATTTTGATATCAGGGTCGGGATGGAATTCCGGAAGTTGGAGTAGCTCTGTGGTATTGAATGTAACGTGTGTGCAAAGTTTCAGGTCATTCGGACGAGGTTTGATAGACTTTTTGATCGAAAGCATAATTTAAGAGTTTTTGAAGTTCTTAGGCTTGAATCCGATGCTAATTGGTTGATTCGATGTTGTTTGAGGTGTTTTGAAGATTCATATAAGTTTGAACAGTGGTATTAGACTGTTTTCTGCTTTTGGTTGAGGTATCGGGGGCCTTGGGGTAATTTCGGTTGGTTGATGGAAAGATTTGGAAATTTGAGTTTGCAGCTGAAGTTATGGCTGCTGTCATAACGACATCTGCGGTTGAGAGGCCGCAGATGCGACTCCTGCAGATGTGGATTTTGGGTCGCAGGTACGGCGAAGGGAATTTAAGTGGGAATTGCATAAGCGGTTACCTTGACCGCAGAAGTGGCCTCGCAGATGCAGATTTACTGGGCAGAAAATGGAAATTTTGAGGGTTTAGTTTCAAAAGTTAGAAAATTAATTTGGAGCTCGGGAGAGGGCGATTTTGGGAGGATTTTGAAGAGGAAATCAGTGGATGACTATTCCTAATCCCTTTCTAGTTGTATTCCTATACTCTAATCTTAGTTTTGTCATTTAATTTCGGATTTTGGATGAAAATTGAGGAAAATTTGGAGAAAGTTCTTAGACCTAAATTTCAAGTTTTGATTGGGGTTTTGACATTGGATAATTTTGGTATGGT